GACGAGTATAGGTTTTGGCTCGCATTTTTCTCCGATAGTGGATCGTGGATCGAAGATCGATAGCCACAAAATAGAATATTAATGAGCTACCTAATTTTTACCCAAATTATCCATAAAACTCCCGCGGCTGCTGCCAATATTTACCCACATTATCCATAAATAACCCTGCATTTTGAGGAAAATTCGGGATAATTGAGCAATTTTACAAGGAATTTCGACCTGGAAAATTGGAAGCAGCAACCTTCGCAAATCACAAGTTACGTTTGGCTGCGCTGCTTTATATTTTGAGAAGAAAGCGACAACGTTCCATACGATTCAGCGTAAGAAATTGTAATTATGGATGTCAAGTGTATTACTAAACACCAGTATTCTAGCGATTTATTGCCTTTGAAAATCAAGCGAAATTGTATTGTTGATAAATCGCTCGCAGTACGTATTGAGGATAAAAATACCACCGTTCGATTCAGCGTTAGAAATTGTACTAATTACGGATGTCAAATGTACAGTATTACTAAACAACAGTATTCTAGCGAATATGGCCTTTGTCAGTTGAAAGCCAAGCGAAATAATTGTATTGTTGACAAGTCGCTCAAAATTATTAATGCAGTACGTTTAATCTTTGATAACTTTGGTATCATTGGTTTTCTCTTTTTCGGCCGTATACCAGTGGATTCGTCTCACTCCTCTCTTCATTTTGATAGTATTTTGAGCCCAAAAGCCCCCAAATATTTTATTTTGAACGTTTTAAAGATGCGGTACAGTCCGTATGTAAACAAAGGCTTTGTTTACATTTCGGTATCCAAAATATTGAATTTCATTCGACAACTATTTATATTTTCATGATTCTAGAGTATAATAAATTATCAAGAGACAACAATCAAGCTTTGCAAGAACATAAAAGGAAATAAAAACCTAAATAAACTGTTTGTAAATAAAAAGAGGGCTCCTTTGTGCACATGCGCAGATCAGACTGTGTCGCATCTTTAAAGCGCAGTTTAATCCTAGCGTACGGACCAACTGGCGGCTGACAGTCTTGAAGAAATAGAATGTAGCGTACTATAAAATATAACTTTACTTGTAGGGCCTACCGCATTTTAGGACTGTGTTACATGTCGTGCTGGTATCGACTTTTTCGCTTAGCTCGGGCCTCGGGGAAGACCTTAAATCTTAATTGAAATAGCTGTGTACTGTATGTATCATGTACAGTAATGTGCGTATTTGTATAGCCCTAGACTCGGGTTCAAGTCCGTCTCTCAAGGGGTTGAAAATAGCGATTTACGCGAGCGGTCAAAAAAGGTGCGAAAATATGAGAGACGGAGTTCAACTAACCTGAAGTTCAGGCCCTAACCAAGTCTAGTATAGCCCCAGCGAGTTAACGCTCCGCAGAGCGTCTTGTTAGCTATACTTCTAG